AAACAAATTTTATAACCAATTGTGGAAAAAATTATCACTTTAATAGACACTTTCCATGTAAAATAAAGCCAAACGAATAGAAAATTTAAAAATTTTTCGGGTGGAAAATTATACCAATCAAACACACTTAATTACCAATTCCCTGTAAAATATTTTCTAGACAATTATTTTCCCTGTAAATCATTTTCTTTCCACCCATTTTCCACCATTTCAATCAAATGCACCCTAAAATAAATTGTCCTCAGAAAAGGTAAATCAGTAGGAATGACAAGTTTCTTTTATCCATTTTTCATGAATAGCTTTGTTCTCATGAATTTTCTATTCAAACTCTATGAAATTTTAAACTTTATAAGAATAGAAACTTTAGAATTTAAAAATCTAAATTCCTTTATTATCAAAATCTTGCAAATCAAGTCACTAAAAAAATTAATATGTGAAACATACTTTAGTTCTTTAGCAATGATTATTTATTATTGGATCTTGATTCCGTATCTTGAATCTTGAAGTTTGAACTGCAATCTTTTCGTGTTTGAGTTCTTCACTTTTAATCTGGAATTTTGTTTCTTTTGATTCTTTTATTCTTGTTCTTGATTTTGCTACTTGATCCATAGTCCTGATTTTTGAATTCCTTCATCTTGATTCTTGATTGTTGATTGCATGTTGTTGATTGTAGGTTTTAAATATTCCTGTTCAATATACTTTTTCTATTAATTCTTTTGTTGATAAGATGACACAAAGAATGAGAAGTTGTGTATGAATTGGGGATCATAACCTTATTTATATTTTCATATGTATCTGACCAACCGTCAAATACAATTCTAATGAATTCGGTCTCTATACATATAATCTGGCTCACACTTTATTAAGATGTCCTAAACCCACTATTTTATTTTTTTATTAGATCACTTTAATTAAGTTCAACTTTAAAATTGTCTTATACACAATTAATTATATATGTAAGCCCACGTGATAAATTAATAAACCCAACAATCTCTCACTTGGACCACATATGTTACTTAATAAATGTGTATAACCTTATGACGTCAAAATTTTTGCTATCATAACCTAAGTATCTCCGAACAATCTCGTCTATTGATAATATCAATATAGGATCAAAGCGATCTTCGTTTAATATCATAACTAAACTCTCAATACTCATGTATATCAACACAATGATATGATATATAT